ACCTTGCGTCATATGCTGGGAAACTGATGTTACTGTAAGCTCACCATTAGGTTGTGAAGTCTCCTGCATTGAAGGTCCATCTAGGGCCCTCTTTAACTTCAACCATTCTTGTTCATTACTTTCCCAATCATTCACAAAATAGATACAGGTCAGCTGCCTTAATTCCTGAGGGATTCTATCCTCTGGTACATTTACTGATATTGGAATAACACGATGGGAAGCTATACATTCTGGGCGTATGGATTCATCAATGAGTTTTTTAAAGGCAGCCATCTGACAATAACGCACCCAACAGTTTTTCAAGAAACCTTCAGTTAAAATTAACAAAACAAATTGAGAGGAATCAACTACCCTGAAAAGTTCACTGAAAACATTTCTTCCAGGAATGCAGTCTCTGTCATGGTAATTATTTCTATCGTATCCCCATCTTGTCAGACATTCATCAGCCCTCTTAACAACATTTAACGATAGCTCAGTTTCCTCAGTTGAAGCTAAACGTGATCTTGCATGATCGTAAATAATCAGACAATCGTATTCTTTAGTCCTTGTCCTCGACATTTCCCAAATTTGTCGTAAAAACCGGTCCTACTGATAATTTAAGGTTCCTAAAACGTTATTATTTGGCTAGGTTACTTTGTAATATAGCTGAAAATCGGTTATTTTGGTCATCGTCTCAACAACAACATTCATGAACTTGCCTATCAAAATAATATTTGAATGACGAACCCGATCAAAATTGTCATAAGGGGAAGCTGTGTACTTTTTAGCTCACCTGAGATGAAAGCTCAAATGAGCTTTTCTAACATTTTGTCCAGCGTCCATATCCGTCTGTCTGTAAATTTTTCACATTTTCTACTTCTTCTCCACAACCACTGGACCAGTTTCAACCAAACTTGCCACAAAGCATCATTGGTTGTTTATTCAAGTGAAATGTCTCACCCACTTTCAAGGGGAGATAATTAAGAAAATATGGTGGCATGTTTTTAAGAATCTTTTCCTCAAGAATTACTGGGTCATGAAAGATGAAACTGAGGTGGAAGCATTCTCAGTTAGTGTAGATTCAAGTTCGTTCAAATCATGACCATGCCAAGAAAACCTTAGCATTCTCTCCGTATAGCAAACTCAATAAAAGCCGAATTAACATTAAATTAATCTGTGATTCTTCCCCTGGGAGACGCGCGGAAACAATTAATGTCTGCAGTTTTGAGGGAGGGATCTTAAAATTTACTGGGTTAAAATTATAGGTAGAATATTAGTTATTTAGAAGCCTTTGCCCCCCCCCCCCCCCGTGTGTTTTTGGGGGGGGGGGGGGAATGAAAATAATTATAGTAAAGTAATTCTTTAATAAAATAAGCTGCCTTTCAATTTTTTTTACGTAATTCAATTTCAAAATATTTTTTCTCAGTACAAATAAATTGACATCGGGTAGTTGTGGAAGTACCGCGTCGAAATATAGATAAAAGAGTACCAAATTTCCGGAAGTTTACATCATTTCCTGGTTGAACAAGATGGAGACGAGTACTGAATGGGTAGACGTTACCCGATTGGCTATGTGTATATTTTCATTTTAAAGTGAATATTTCCTTTTGATTGTTTTTTTCTTATTTTCTTCAGTCCAATATTTTTTTTTTTAAATAAACGTATTTTGAAAATAAAGATATTTGACAGTAACTTTTTAGGGTATTTGTACTACTTCCTGGGGTAGAAGTTTATTTTTTCTTTAACTAAGAAAGCTTAAAACCTAGGATCCACCCCCCAAAAGTCTGCTGCCGTAAATTGTCTTGCTGGCGTTTTGGGAATATGGGTGATTTGCATCAATTACACTTTTATTGACTCCATCGCTGTCGAAATCGGACGAGATTTCTTGGCATGCCCCGGGGTAGGGTGGGACCTCAAGGGTAATAGGAATAAGCTCGCCCTCTCCAATTTTTATCTGATATTTCCTGGAGCCCCTCCCCCCCAGGGAGAGTGCTATATTATTGCTGAAGGATCCTCAGGTATGTTCAAATCATAACCCCGGGGGTAGGGTAATGTGCCACAATGGACGTTCATTTAGGGAATTATTAATATATAGGAAAAATCTTTACAAATTTTCTCAAGAACAACAAAGCCTTGATTAGTCATATTGATATGGACGCATCCTCAGGTAGTGTAGATTCTAGATTCAAGTTTGTTCAAATCATTACCCCTGGGGTTAGGGTCGGGGCAATTGGGGATCAAAGTTTAACATAGAATGTAAAAATGTGTATTAATCTTTTCAAGAACAACAAAGCCATGATAGCTCGTATTTATTAGGAGGCATTCTCGTTAGTGTCAATTCAAGTTTATTGAAATCATTTATTTGGAAACATTTTCAGGTAGTGCAGATTCAAATTTGTTCAAATCATGGCCCCAGGAGGTAGGGAAGGGCCAAAATGAAAGTTCAAACTTCTAGGGGGAAGCCTCAGTAACTCAAAAAATATGTAAGCATTCTTAGTGTAGATAAGTTAATTCAAATCATACTACCCTTTTTAGGGATAGGTTGGGACCAATTATGCATTTAAACTTTTTCAATACTGGATTGATGTTTGCTGTTTATTCTAGTCACAGTGCTCAGGTGAGTGATGTGGCCCATGGGCCTCTTGTTTCACTTTTAAGGTATTTTCGTCCTGCTGTGATGTCATAGATTTTGCAAAATGATCTATTATTAATGTACAGGGGCGTAGCAACAGGGGGGGGGGGGGGGTCCTGGCCCCCCCACTTTTTTCACCAACCTTACTGATACTATAGGAAATGTTAATTGAAAGCCTGGTTGCCCCCCCCCCCCCCCACTTTTAGTGATGTACCGAAAATGTAGTATTAGAATTGGTGCTGAAAGTAGTTGACACTGAGAAAAAGATTACCTCCCCCCCCCCGGCTGCCCCCCCCCTTTCAAAAACGATGCTACGTGCCTGATGTAAACGCACACCCGCATTAGAAATATATCTTCTGGAAGAATGTTTTACAATGGTTATAATGAAAATAAGATGTGTTTGTGAAACACTGAAGCCCCCGTATGGCAACAAAGCAAAGTTTAAACTTTTCTTAAATGCATATTTAATATATCGGTACCCAAAGTAGGGTATTCTCACTGGAAATACAATTGTGAAATATGAAAGTAGGTCAAGGTTAAATTTTTTTCATGAGTATGGAAATTTCCAAGGTCAAAGTGGTATCCATTGAAAGGTCTTGCCACAAAGAATACATATGTGAAGTAGGGAAGCCCTAGCTCTAATCCTTCCAAAGTTATATTTTCAGAAGTAGGTCAAACTCCACCTTTAAAGAGTCAAAATTCTTCATATCAAATGAAGGGTCTTCTTAAAAGAGTTACATATGTGAAGTATAAGAGCACTAGCCATAACCCTTCAAAAGTTATGGTTAAAATTGGTTTGTAAAAGTAAGTCAAACTCCAAAGTCAAAGACAAAGGGCCAAACTGAAGTTCTTGGTATCCAATGAAGGGTCTTCTTACAACGATTACATATGTGAAGTATGAGAGCACTAACCCCCACTTTTCAAAAATTATAACCAACGTTAAAGTTTTTTAATGCATACAGAAAATTCCAAGGTCATGGTAACTACTTTCATGTTTCACAATTGTATTTCCATTGAGAGTACCAAACTTTTACTTACCATAACTTTTAAACGGTAGGTGCTAGGACTTTTATACATCACATATGTATTTTTTTCTAGCAAGACCTTTAATTCGATACCAACAACATTGACCTTGACCTTGGAGATTCCCTTACTTATGAAAAGACTTTAATTTTGACCGTAACTTTTGAACAGTAAGGGATAAGGTTTTTATACTTCACATATGTAATCCTTGTGGCAAGACCTTTTATAGAATACCAACAACTTTGACCTTGACCTTGAAGTTTTCCTACTTATAAAGAACTTGAACTTTGGTCAAAACTTTCGACTGGTAAGAGCTAGGGCTTTCATAGTCATCACAAATTATCAGAAAGCAGCAAGGATTGTATAAAAAATAAAAATAGCGGCACAAGTTGCACTTGATCGAATAATTTTGAAACCGTTTCTATTGGATATATGTGAACTAGTAGTTTGACTGATGTGTTATTGAGAGAGTTAATGTAGCAAGATAAGGATTATTTCCGGGACAATGGAGAGAAAATATAGTCCTGGTCGATGGGTAGCAGAATCTTGCCAGCTTCCTAAATTTGAAGATACATCCTTTAACTGTTTTATCATACCAATGCAAAACCTGGAGGATAACAGTCTATTAACAGATAACCGAGAAGTGTTAGTAGCTTTCAAAGCAGTGCATGATTAGCTCACTTGACTAACCCTCCGCAAATTGATTCAAAAGTAAAATCTTAAGGATGCGGATAGCCAGGTATTAGCTCACTTGACTAAAACGGAGATTAGTCAATTCAAATTCACAACGATTACTGTGGAATCATTTAGATTTCACGGTGATTCGATTTTCATTCGTTGGTTCTTCTCCTGCCTTAATTAGCATTCTTAAGGAATGAATAAAATATAGGTTTACAATGAAGTTGTCAAGATTGTAGCACTCATAGAAAACACATCTGAACCGTATAGTGGTTTATTTGAAACTCAACAAGTATATAACATAACGTTATAGTAACGTCTATGACGTCATAGTACTGCGACGTCATAGTTCGGCAAAAGTCACTTACATAAACATGATTATATTGACAAAGGTAATTAAGAAAAGCACTTATGTTTATAATTCACAACATTCTCCGGCTCACCAAAGTGTCCATATTTCACAACATTCTCCGGCCCACCAAAGTACGAATTGAGCAAGTCCTTGGACTGAGAAATAAAAGGAAATTTGAATGAATGATGAATAAAAATCCTCGAAAAGTTATTCGCAATGTCACATGAAATGTACGCTCTTCCACTTCATAAAAGTTTGGATTTGCTCTATGTCTTTGAGTTATGTACCATCACATATATGAAAAAAGTCTCACAAGAAATTGTCTTTCTCTTCACTCTAATGTCCGAAATACTCCCTGATGAACGCATTCTCTTTAGCTTGAATTTGCTCCTTATGCTGATCAATCTGATGATCCATAATCTTCACCTTCCTCTTCATCTCTGCGATCTCATCCCGTGACTCGATGAGGTTCTTACTGTATGTCCTCTCGACATCTCTGAAAGTTTTGAATGTTTTCTCCTGTTGCCTGATATTGCTGTCATCCTTGGAAATCCTCTTGAAATCAACAAACTGCATGCCATGAACTTTGTTATCCTCTGCGTAATTCCGAGTTAGATTGTTGTTCTCATTAGTGTAGCGGTTTTGTTCCTTTTCTATTTGGTTGACAATGTTCATCTTTTCCTGGGTCTCCTCTCTGTAACTCTGTTCTAGGTTATTCTTATGAATGTTATCTAGTTTCTTGGCTATCTCTGACTCCCTCTTCAAACCAGTAATTTGATCTCTTGGAGTTTCTCTCTGCTGCTCTACATCTGAGTGAATATTTTCTCCAACTTGTTGAAGTTTCCTTTGAGGTGCCCCCTTTGACGATTTGAGCCGTTGTATCTCCTGTTTGAGTGTATTAACTTCAACTTCTTTTTTCTTCAACTCTTCAGCTTGATTCTCAGCTGTCATCTGATTTGTAGCAATTGACTGTGCATGAATTTTGGTCTGAAGCATTGCAAACTGGGTATGTAAAATGTTAACATCTTTCATGGTTTTCTCACTCAAAATCCTCTGTTCTGATATCTGCTGTTCCAATGTAGCAATGACACTTTTATAGTTCTTATTTTCGTCCTGTAGATTCTTGATTTCCCTGGTCTTTGCATCCAGTTCAGAATCAGCCTTTGCTTGTAATGTATGGGTATTCCTCCTTTTGGTTTTGACTGCATTATGAGCAGTGCACAAACTTGTATGGTGACGTCTTTTACAAATTTTACAATTGAATTTTGACTGACATTCTGCAACACAATGTCTCCCTAAACAATTAAAGCACAGTTTGTCTCGTCTGACAATTTTCATCCGGTCATTGTGTTTTATGTATCTTGTACATCCACTTGAATGATGTGACTCCTTGCAAAATGTACAGCATACTCGATGATTCCGAGGACTGTAGTTCCGTTGTGGTTGCTCATCACTGGATTCAGAGTGCATGTATAATATAGCTGTAGCACGGTCTTCTGTTGTGTCCATATGAGTTCCTGCTTCTAGTATGTGAAGTTCCTTGTAAAGAGCCTTTCGTAAGTCGCCTAGTAACCAGTCAGTAGAGCCATGTTCACGTGCCAAATTCTTGCGTATTTCAGTAGGTAATTTGTTCAGAATCACAGGTACTAGAAGAGAACCGTATGTATCTTGAGCTTGTCCGTAAGATTCTAAACCTCTGATGTATGTCTCCACTTGGTCATGAAAATGACGCAGGCTTGTGAGATTATTCTTGGGAGCGGGTAGGTCCAAGAGTGCTTGCATGTAGGACTGAGTTATCTTGTGTTTTTGTCCAAACCTTTCATGTAGAAGCTCAATCGCTCTGTTGTAATTTGCATGTGTGAGTGCAAATCCTGAAATGGTGTTCGATGCCTCTTCTGCTACTAAAGACTTTAAGTAATTAAACTTTTGAACTTCTGTCAATGTGTTGTTGCTATGAATAGCCGAATCGAATGAATCCCAGAATGACTGCCACTCCAACACATTTCCCTCAAAAATGGGTAAGTTTAGTTTTGGTAGTTTGTGAAAGTTAGCACTGTTTGAATTGGAAAAGCTTGTAAAGGACTGATGACCTCTGGAATTTTCTCTAAAATTATGTGATGATTGACTATTCCCTCCTAATTGCGAATTCTCATCTTGATCTAAGAAACTGCTGGCAACTGCATTTTGTTCCAAGAAATGTTTCTTACATTTCCTCATTTTAGAATTAAGATTGAAATTGTACTCATCTGTCTCCAGTATTTCTCTCTCAATATCCTCCTCTGCTGTTTCTGTTAGAATATTTTCATCCAGATCTCGAAGAATTTCCTGTTTGTCCGTTAATGTCTCCAAAATTGTCTCAATTTCCTCTGAATTTGTATTTTCTTCATCCAGTCTTTTTAGAAGTCTGGTTACAGCACTTCTCTGTCCTGCTCTTACTGCCTTCAGTTTAGATGTCATCTCTCCTCTTTCGTCACGGCACCAATGTCAAGATTGTAGCACTCACAGAAAATACATCTGAGGTTTTCTTTTGTATGTATAATACATGAAATTATGTCCCCTCGAATCCACGACCCCCCCCCCCCCCACCGGATTTTAATTATTTCCGTAGTACTCGGGAGTTATTTTATCTATTACTTGGATCTAAACAAACTTGAATAGGTCAACAGAGGACCTAGTTAACGATTTTATGATCAGTCCACTCATCCTGAAAATAGAATTTGATCCACCAAAATGGATAATATACGCTAATTATATTCATTATCTAAATATCATGGAGCTTTGAATTGACATTGAAGAACTAAAAGCTGCCTATTTCATTTTGCACTGGATACACCATTCAATATCAGCCTCTTGGAATTTGTTGCATCTTGCGCGCTCATTTTGTCAATGAGAGATTGATCTTGTAATTTGTATTTCTGATCTAAATGGTATTCTAGACGGAAAATGCATCCGAATCTAAGCACTATATGCCCTAATTTAGTACACGTGTATACACCAAACATTCAGTGGGTAAAAGAATTATGCAAATTTTTCATGTTTTTTTTTTTTTGGCCCGATCGGTGCAAAAAGCAACAGCGTTGATCAAGGGGCATTCTACTGGAAGAATAATTGGAAATTCCTTTAACTCCATACTTCGTAAAGATCCTCATTGCCTATCGTATGTAGTTTTACGACTTGATACAGTGACGTTGAAATGGTATTCTACTTTTATCGTTAATAATATTCTTAATATTCCTAAACGGGCTTTAGGATTTCCTTTTGAAATAAAACAAATCTGAGTATTGTACCTTCAGTTTGTACCCTTATCAAGGATCACAACATCTGCAATGCAGTTATTTCGAACAACATAAAAAACAAGTGTTTACTGGCATTCGAAACACGTCTATTAAGCTTTATGGTTATTATGTTTTCAAAATCATCTGGCAGTAATCTTTGTGTTTTCTCTTTTGTTTCTGGATATTTTCCAAAATGGCCTCACGTCGCGTGCTTAATAGGTAACTGGTGTTAAAAATGTGCATTTCATTACTCCAACATATACAATTTGAAAAATGACCAAATGCTGACTTTTCATACTTATTGTATAGACCATTATTTACACACTGAATTGTCTGAGGATATTTTTTTATTATTTCCCATTCATGACAAGGAGCACACGACGGGCATGACCGGTCAGCAGAGAGTACTCACTCCTCTATGGCACCTGATCCCACCTCTGATGTTTTAGAAAATACTGCATGTTCGTTATCTCCATATATTTTAGCATTAGTTGATTAGTACTAAACTTAATTCCCGGGTATTCAAGAGTGAAATTTTACAATGCAATAAATACAGCTACATTCATAGAAGCGTTTTAAATGTGATTGAATAAAAAAAGATACTATACCCCCTTTTTCTACAGATATAGAGAAAAACGTACATTTGTGGCTTCGCCGATCAAATAATCGACAAATATGCATATTTTTTCCATGCTGAAAAAGTAGGAATTAATCACATTACAGGTATGCGATGAGATCACAGTGGCAGACTACTGTGAGTAATAAAGAATACAAAAGACGTATCTGACACTTCAAAAATAAACAAATTTCATTTCTTTTCATCTCCATAAACAATAAGGCTCAGCTCTTCATGGAAACAAACATATTTTTTTTTTAATTTGAAAGTACTCATCAAAAGTTTACTTCTTCCAAACATGGCACAGATATCAAACAACAATTCATATCGCAAGACAGCGAACTGGAAAAAAAATTAACAAACGTTTAAACAAAACACTTAGATGGTATATTCAAGTAAAGTGTCAAATTTATGACTCCGTCCGGACTTCACGTTCAGTTTGACTTTGGCACCAGCAGGGTAGCCAACACTAAAGTCCACATAAGCCTCGTATATGTTCGGTTCAACTTGATCCATCTTGATCCAATCTTCGTGAACCTTGAGCTGAACATCCACGGCCTTGGGTACCAAGAACCGGAATTTCACGGACGGTTCTTTAATTCCTTTCATAAGCATAAGCGGTTCATAAAGGTAGCACCCTTCCTGTTTCCAAAGAGGATACTGCTTTGGAAACGATTCCACATATCTGTCCACTTTCTGGATATTTAACAGGTAATTGTAGACATTGATCATGTTTGGCCCAGCTTCAGAATTAGGTAAAGCATAGATCTGAAATTTAAAGAATCCAGTTCTTGGAACAGCAATTGTGAAATGGTACTCGGATCCCTGGATTTGCGTAAGCACAAATTGGTTACACTCTCCCTTTGGATCCACGCCTAAAAGTTTGGTGGTGAATCTCGTTTTCTCGGTTGTTCCTATGACAATTTCCACTTGGTTAGTGTCCGAATGAATGACAGGATCTGGGTGGGATAGAGTGGTTAATCCGTAAGGGTAAAATTTGGCCTGGGGACCAAGGTACCCCTCCGTCAATCTTGGAAGTTCAACCTGCGCCATTGTTACTGTCCACCTGAAATATGCACTTTAGCTGCCTTTTTGTCCGAATTCGTTTTTAAAAAACGTGCGTGATTTTGTTGATCGCCTCAAGGTTCAGAAGTATAAATATTAAAACACGCTTCAATAGAAATACGGTATTCCCTTAATATTAATAAACAAAGTGTATGTCTTATCCCTGGCTTTGATATAAATGTAAAGTAATTATTCTCTCGCTTGTAAGATGCCAGATTGACTAGGAATATGATGTAGGATCCCTCCTGTAGTGCAGAGCTGTGGGGCTTACTTATCAGAGAAATCGCCGAACAGCATGTGTAAAGAGAATGCAGCAGGGGCCCGCACGGGTTGTCTATATAAATATAGATATCAGCTTTCTCCTTCGTTTTATGTAATGACTCAATAAAACGCGGTATCTTCAAAGCGTCATAACAAAACCATTCTGAGTGTGGTTTTTGTTTATTTTTCAAAAAACAGGCGTAAGAGGAAAGGAATTGCTACCCACACATCCACTTCAAGGATACATTATAAACAATCATTCTCACTTATTCCAGCTCGTAGACTCTCTGCTAGACGTGATAGCTACAACATATGTTTACCGAATTCCAGTCGGCAAACTTTTTTTGGCAAACCTTCATAAAGAATATGCATGTTTAAGATCACATAAAAATTAATAGGATATCCAGTGCTCATAATTTAAAAAAAAAAAAAAAAATTAAAAATTATGAGTTACATGTATGTACATGCTCTTACTACGATGAGATTATGGTGAAAAATGATTTGTCCCGATAAATTTTATATCAATTTGCAGAATGTTACAGCCATTTTTATATCAATAAATATTAATTTTAGGTGTATAAATTGCATAAGAAGCACGTGAATCTTAAGGATATCCGATCCTCAGCCAGGAATGATAACTCCAAAAATTCATATTTAATTTGAAATGCATCAAAATGAAGCTTAAAAATGAATTTTTTTCATGCAACAATTTTCATTTTATTCATCTTAATAAGGTTCAAGGTTTTTGGAAGTCTTAGAAAAGGTCTCAGAAAAGTTGACATTTGGACCCTATAAAAGGGAAAAAATGAATAGTTTTAGAGAAATAAGATTTTCTTGAACCCAGCCTTAGATACAAATGCTTATTAGCATGATATGAAATAAGAAGTGATTTGTGGTGTCTTGCAATGATAGCAAAAGCCTTTTACACTATGTATTATAGAATACATGACAGAAATAGAAGACAAAAAATACCAAATAAGTATAAAAATCATGACAAATTCTCTGAATGCCTGGATACCTATTATTTTTTAACCTAAAATATATTTGTTGATCAATTTGCAATTAGAAAAAGCATTGCTGATATTCCAATTTGTTTTATCTGCAAAAATATAGGAGATTTGACAATCTTCCCTATATAATATGATCAACTTCAATCTTTAATTTTAAAGAAATACTGTGGATAAATTTACATAACTTTATGAATTCAGAGATACTTTTATGAGTATTTTTGATTACTTAACTGCTAATTTTATAAACCTGAGGATCGGACTACCTTAATTAATAAGGAAGTAGATTTCTGATCAAACAAGACACCAACTGACATATCATTTAACCAAATAAAAATCCACACTATGTACACGAAACATGCACAAGGAAAATGAGTTTCTTTTTTTTAGCTCGCCTGAGCTGCAAGCTTTTCACATTTTAAATCTGAAACTTATGTGGACGCATCCTATGGTAGTGTAGATTCCAATTTGTTTAAATCATGACCCCCGTGGAAAGGGCAGGACAACTTTAAGGAATCCAGGTTATATAGGAAAAATCTATTAGAGTCATATATGGCGTATTTTTGATAAGTTCAACTAACTAAAATTATAAAGATCCTTCTATTTGTTTTGTTTTTGTTTTTTTTAATAAGGATAGAACTTTCCTGTAAATTACACAATTTAAATCAATCGCGTTCCATAGATATCACAGATTTAAAACAATAACTGATTTATTTCCGACTCGGAATTAAATAGCAGACACAGTTTAAAGTCAATATAACTGTAGAAACTGTGGATATTTAAGTTCAAAATCGGTGAAAATTTGAATTTGAACGTAAATAAAAAATATCATGTAAATCTACACTTAATCTCGTATTTTTATTTTTTAGCTCAGATACGCCATACATATATATCTTCTGAAGAACCATTTGACCACGACAGCTGAACTTTAAGTGGGAGCATCATTGGGTAGTGTAGATTCTAAATTGTTCAAATCATGGCCTCTGGAGTAGGGCGGGGCCACAATAGGGAATCAAACTTTTACACTGAAATATTTTATTAGAAAAATTGTTTAAAATCTTCCTCTCAAGAACCTCTGATAACGTAATGTTGAATCTTATGTGAATGCAAGCTGAGGTAGTGTAAAGCCAAAGTTACTCAGGTGAGCGTTGTTGCCCAAGGGCCTCTTGTTTGTTTTTTTGTGTGTGTTTTTTAATTTGATATTTTTTAATAAATTGCAATATCAATATTTATCAAGTTTCTTATAGGCTAGTTTCGACCTGCGTGAATATCAAGGAAGTTAATGGCCATATAGCTCACCTGAGAACAACTGGCTAAAAAGTGGGGGGGGGGTTAAATTTGAATCTAAACTACCCGGGGATTCTTCCATATCAATATGACTAAAATAACAATGTAAATCCTTGATTCCCCATTGTGGCCCCCATCCTACCCCCGGCAGTCATGATCTGAACAAATTTTAATCTACTAATTATATACTAGAGGATGCTTCCAATGCAATATTACCAAAGTCATGATTGCGTTTACTTGATACCCAGAGGCAGAGAAGGGGATTTTCACTGTATAATCAGTTGAGCCCCCCAACCCACAGGAACCCCCTGACCCCGGGGTCACACATTTCACAATTTTTGAAGAGGCTTCTTTAATCATCATAACTATATTTAGGTTGTTTCCTTAATACAAAGGAGAAAAGGAGAAGATATCCAAAGAATTAATGCTTCTTACAATCAAGATTCCCACCCTAAAAGCAGAATTCCTAACCCTGGGACAATAAAATTTACATTTTTGTAAAAGGTGCCCTTGCTTATTATAACCATGCACACAGTTCATTACCTTAATACCGGAGAGGAGGAGAAAATGTTAAGAATAATTATATTTTCACTAGTATGTAATCCAATAAAGCCCTGTCCTAACACCAGAACCCCTAACCCTAGGGCCATTAAACTCACAATTTGGGAAGAGACAGATATCATCATTACTATGCATATACATGTACTTTGTTTGCTTAATACTAGGACCAGGAGAGATTTTTTATGCCCCCTGATAGAAAGATCACGGGGGTATATTGTTTTTGTCTTGTCTGTCTGTTTGTCTCTCTGTCTGTTGTCAACTTCAAACTAGCCCATAACTATTGAGTAGGTGGGTTAGGTCTTTCATCCTTTATATGTGTATTCATTGTGACAAGACCTTTCAGCTGGTATAAATATATTTGACCTTGACCTATGAGTTTGACCCAGTTTTTAAAAACATTAACCTTGATCATAACTCTTGAACAGTTAGAAATAAGGCTTTCATGTAAGTAGTATAAGGGGCCCCGATGGCCGGGTCAACTGAGTGCACTTTTTATGCAAATGAGGTCAAAAATACTGGATTCTGATTGGTGGAGGGGATAAGTGGATCAACTGAGTGCAGTCCTAACCCTAACTAACCCTAACCCCCCTTACCCTAATCCCCTAGCCCTAACCCTAACCCTAACCCTAACTAACCCTAACTAACCCTAACCCTAACCCTAGCCCTAACCCTAACTAACCCTAACCCCCCTAGCCCTAACCCTAACCCCCTAACCCCTAACTAACCCTAACCCCCTAGCCCTAACCTAACCCCTAACTAACCCTAACCCTAATCCCCTTACCCCTAGCCCTAACTAACCCTAACCCCCCCCCCCTAACCCTAACCTATTCCCTTAAATACGGAGTTGTTTACACTGTGTTTATACTATACGTTGGTACTACGTTTTTGTTTATGAACACAGGTAAAAATGCGCCGTGTGCAAAACATTTCAAGAATGTGATTATGACGTCACGCTTCACAGTCTAGACAGCCCTATAACCGGTTTGAACTGGTTTTACTGAAAGACAATAACAAAACCTTGATTTTTTACTGAAAACAAAATCAAACAAGACAGATTAGAACACAGATTTTGATTTTTTTCAATTTTTATTCACAATGAAAATACATACAGAATTTTCCTCTTGTGGCTGAACACTCCTCTATTTTTCTCCTTTTTGTACTTTTTTCTCTAACTGGCGTGTCTCCCTTTCTAAATTACTAATCTTTGTCAGCACTTCTTTCTGTTTATTTAGGATACGGTATATCAAACATTCTGGGGTATTTTCCTCTTCTGAGTACTTGCGGGGCTCTTTTTTTTTATTTTTTTTTCCTGGTCTGCTTCCCTTCTTCCTAGATCACTAATCTCTCTCACCACTTCTATCATTCCCTGCATAACAATGTTCATATCTCGTATGATACCGCACATCAAACTTCTTCTTTCATCTAGATCTAAAAGATCCTGTGTTTCTGGTACGTTCTCCTTTGTATTTTCCTCTGCCATATTTTACCTCTTTCAAGTTAAAAGTAATCACACAGAATGATCCTCTATGTCCAGCTCTGGTTTATATATAGCATGGATTTATTTTAGGGTCGTGTGCAAAAATACGTTTTACCTACGTTTTCTTATATATACCTGTTACATCACCTGTAAAGGGGCCGTGTGCAAAAAAACATAAGGGTCGTGTGCAAAAGAAAAATACGTTTTACCTACGTTTTCCTTATATTTACCTGTTTGCATCCTCTATAAAGTGCCGTGTGCAAAAAAAAAAAAAACTTACCTGTGCATTATGACGTCATCCACTGTATATAAATACGGTTTTCTCCGACTCTGGGCTCATTCTACAGTCACAGCCATCAGCTGATAAACATGGATTCTACTAGAGAAAAGCAGGTACAGGCTCGAGGAATATTGAAACGTAAAAGTACCGAGAGAGAAATAGATTTACCACCTCTTACCACCCATTTCTGAGTATTATCACATGAGACTAGCTGAAAAAAGGACCTCTCCAAAATTTAAAGCGCATGAAAATAGATATGTCGTTCATTTCGATGAATTTCCAGAAGAAGAAGAAAACACAGCTTTCCTTCGGCGATTATTCACAAACATGTTACAAGACTTCAAATCTAAAATGCAGTGTGATCCTAACGATTACCTCCGTCTGAACCTTCATCACGATTCTCTGGAATCAGACATTTCTTACAAGTTTATGCAATGTAAAGAATTAAACGAAGACGTCATTTTAAAAGAAATACAACATGTGCAACAATCCAAAAAGGAGTTCAAAATCGGCGACGGCTCCACGGAATTCGATCTGTTACACATCGAGAATCCCCAGGGGAGTGGTGGAAACAGAAACAAACATCTACAACTGGATAAAGAAACTTTCAAGAAAAATAAACGAGCCATCGTTCGGATCGTCAATCCCTGGGATAAATTTTGTTTGGCTAGAGCCATCGTCGTCACTCGATTACACAGTCAAAAACCCGAACATCCAGACCCGGAATGGGAAAAACGATGGAAACGCATGAGATTAGGAGATGTAAGAGCCAATGACCAGAAACGAGAAGCCATAGCCCTCATGGAACAGGCCGGATGTGATATCACTCAAGCTTGTGGAAATGCAGAGTGGCCGAAATTACAAGAGGTATTAGCTCCCCAGTATCGTCTGAAAATATTTCAGTTCAAATCTACTTCGACTAAACTCTGTTTAGAGCGCATCTTCAAAGGCTGGGGAGATGGAACTTGTTTGAACATTTTGTTAGACAACCGTCATTGCGATGCCATCATATCCATGCCGGGAGTAACGGGGAACCAATATTACTGTGATCATTGCGACGTGGGGTACAGGAATGTCACAGACCATCGGTCCAAATGTCCTCATCGCTGTACCTATTGTTTAGGACCACACCCTCAATGTCCCGATGAAGGGATCAAGATTAAATGTCGGGAATGCCATGGAATGTTTAAGAACAGGACCTGCTACGAAAATCATTTAAAACCCCATAGTAAGAAAACCACCACTACTGTCTGCAATTTAATGGTTCTATGCGAGAAGTGTCAGTCGTGGATACCTTAGAAATTATTTCCTCATCACAAATGCGGAGATCAGAAACAGTGTAAGATCTGTAAGAAAATCGTCGATGCCGATCATCGGTGCTACGTACAACTGAAGCCCAAGAAGAAGAAGAAGGGAAAAGGCACCTTAGAGTTTACCATTTATTTCGATTTCGAATGCACTCAGGAATCGGGCATTCACGTCCCTAATCTGTGTGTGGCACATCGCGTCTGTCAACATTGCGATGACTTACCCATAGACCAACCTTGTCCTCATTGTCAACACATGGGACCCCGTCAGCACCTATTTCAAGGACCAGACACCTTAAAGAAGTTCATGGACTGGTTATTTCAACCCACTACAGGTACTAAGAATTCCACTTTAGTACACGACGGGGCCATCGTCATCGCCCATAACTTCAAAGGCTACGACGGACAATTCATTTTGAATTACATAGTGCATTCTTCTCCCCTGAAACCTAAGGTGATCATGAACGGGTGTAAGATCTTGTCCATGGAAATATGTGGACTCAAATTCATCGACTCGTATAGTTTCTTAACCTTTCCATTGGCCAAGATGCCCTCCGCTTTCGGATTTGACGAACTGAAGAAAGGTTATTTCCCTCACTTTTTTAATACGGAACAGAACCAGAATTACGTGGGACCTTATCCACCGGCAGCTTTCTACAAACCGGACGAAATGTCTACCAGTGGACGAGAGGCTTTTTACCAATGGTACGACCAACAGAGGGGAAAAGTGTTTGATTTCCAGAAAGAGTTTGTAGGGTATTGTATCTCGGACGTCGACATTTTAAGACGATGCTGTGCACGGTTTAGAAGCACCATCAGGGGGTTGGTCAACGTGGACCCTTTCCAGGAATCCATCACGTTTGCCAGTGCTGCTAATTTAGCCTACCGTCGAAATTTCATGCCTAAAGACACCATTGCCATCATTCCGAACCTCGGGTATGAACCGGCACGACAATATTCGGCCAAAGCCTGTCGGTGGCTCACCTGGATGAGTCATCAGAGTGGATGTCACATACGACATGCCAGAAACGGAGGCGAAGTCCCGATCGTAAATTATACCGTCGACGGATACCAGGAAGCGACTCGTACCGTCTACGAATTTTACGGGTGTTATTGGCACGGATGCCCCACTTGCTATCCCAGTTTACAGACGGAAACTCATCCTCACCGGACCCAATTTACTTACCAACAATTACACGAGAAAACCCTCAGAAGGACTGCGGATTTAGAGGACATGGGGTACAACGTGTGTAGTATCTGGGAGCACGATTTCGATCAACAAGTGCAACAAGATGAGAGTTTACAGCAATTTGTACGAGATCTGGACATTCCGGATCCTTTAAAACCTCGAGAAGCCCTGTACGGAGGCCGGACCAATGCCACTAAATTATATTGTGAAGAAGGGGACATGAGATACGTGGACGTGTGTTCCTTATACCCTTACGTGTTGAAACACAGACCTTTTCCCCTAGGGCATCCCGAGATCATCACAGACGACTTCCAGGACGTGAGAAGTTATTTCGGTCTCATTCACTGTCGGGTCTTACCACCCCGAGGCCTCTTTCACCCCGTATTACCTTATCGGACGGGAGGCAAGTTATTATTTCCCTTGTGTCGCACCTGTGCCCAACAACAAGACTCTACGTCTCGACACCCATGTCAACACAGCGACCGGGAACGTAGTCTCACGGGTACTTGGGTGACGAGCGAATTACATAAAGCGCTAGACATGGTCTATACCTTAAAGCGAATTTACGAAGTGTGGCATTTTAAAGAAAGCAGTCAAGACTTATTTAAAAACTACATCAATACCTTCCTCAAGATCAAACAGGAAGCGTCCGGATTTCCCCCCGACTGTAAGACCTCAGAACAGAAACAAGATTACATATATCAAATCTTCGACAAAGAAGGATTCATGATGGATAGGATCAGTATCGAGAAGAATCCAGTGAGAAGAACCATTGCTAAACTCTTTTTAAATTGTCTGTGGGGAAAATTTGCTCAACGCTTGTTATTACCCAAAGTCAGATACTTGGACGAAGTAGAGGAATTACATCAACTCTTACAAAATTCGACTCTCGACATCAAGGGTGTGCGACTCTTAGTCAATAAAGAAGATTCCACTGAAGACAAGATTCTAGTGAATTTTCAAGACAAACAGGAATTCGTCGAAGAATGTCCCTTTGGAAACGTGATCCTGGCTTGTTTTACCACCGCCTATGCCCGCTTACATCTCTACGAGACTTTACAACCTTTAGAAGAACGGGGCCTTTATTTCGATACGGACAGTATCATTTACCAACATAAGGAAGGAGCTTTTAATCCTACCTTGGGTCATAGTTTAGGAGAATGGACCGACGAATTAGACGGGGATCACATCACCAAATTCATGTCGGCAGGTCCTAAAAATTATGGTTTTCGGACGGACAAAGGAACCGAGACCCTTAAATGCAAAGGAATCACTCTCAACCATCGAACCTCTCAGTTGGTGTGCCCAAACACTTTAGAAAAAATGCTCAAGGGAGAAATAGAGGAAGTAAAAGTCCCCTATCCCAGCAAAATCCAGAGGACCCGTGATTATGAGGTCGTGAACAAACCTTCAGAGAAAACGTATAGAATTGTATATGACAAGAGACAAATTGTAGAGAATTATAACACTTTACCTTATGGTTATTGATATGTTTGTTTGTTTGTTTGTTGTTACAAATAAATAAAAATTGAATTGTTTTTATGTGTTGTTTTTTCTTCTCTATAAAAGGTATTCTTATTCAAAATCAAAGGTCATTTCTAATCATGGGGAGTCGCGAGCCAGACCAACCCATGCGTTTTCCCCAGTATGCTCGGCTCTCAAAGAGAGAAGCTACTTTTGAGCAGGGATGGCCAGAACCTCTCTTAGGAAAAATACCAGACCTAGCTCGAGCTGGGTTTTTCTACAGGGGAGTGAAAGATAACGCTACCTGTTTTCATTGTGGAATGACTTTAGAGAATTGGGATCTTGAGGAGGATCCTTGTGCAGAACATGCTTATTGGAACCCCAATTGTCCTTACATCAATCAGTATAAAGGACGAAGCTGGGTGATGAATGTATATTTGTCGGGGACTTAGAGAAGCAGGGATATAAACCTTTACCTGAGATTAAACCTCTACTGAACCCAGAACCAGACGTCCAGGCTCGAGGAAAATGTCACATTTGTTTAGACGAGGAATTACAAATCGTTTTTCTACCTTGTGGACACGTATGCTGCTGTGCCTTGTGTGCTCCTTCCTTTCAGTTTTGCCCCATCTGTCGAGGCGAGATTCAACAGTCCAAACGGATATTTCTGTGTTAACTATAAATAAAAAAGACAGAACCCAAATTTGGTGTTTTCTATTGTTAAGCAAGCTCCTCAGACCTAGATTTTTTTTTTTCAGTGATAAAGAATGAGATTTTTGAATTATTCCTAATTCAAAATTCTCTATTGGTTTTTTCCTCTGCAAGTTAAAAAATAATTACACCTGAGAGTCTATATAAAAAGGAGACCTACAAAACCAACAGATCATTTCTGATCTGAGTGAGGGACAGTAAGGCACAACAAATGAAAGTGAAATCTTTTTTTTATCATAATACATAATTTTGTAATAAACAAACACTAGAAAGTTACTCTCATAATGAGCCTTAATGTCTTCCAAGAGTTTAGTTTGGACTTCCTCCATTAATCCTTGTATCTACTCCATTGGTTTTGTGGGCTAAAATCATGTGTCTTGTGAGGTGTCAAAACAAGTCGGTCATGGATTGACACGAGTCATCAACTTTTGAATGAAAAGTTCATTTTTTCTATGAAACATGTATGAAACTTATATTATTTTGAGTCAATATTCATATTAAAAGCATAATTTCAGTCACTTTCATACAAGATAGTCAACATTTCATACTAGAATTGATTTGACATAAAACAAAGCGAAATTCCGTCGTCTGCTTTGATTGACAGGTGTCATGACGTCATAATGAATAATTCTTTGAAATTCAGTGAATGAAAAGTTCATCTATGAAACATGTATGAAACTTATATTATTTTGAGTCAATATTCATATTAAAAGCATAATTTCAGTCACTTTCATACAAGATAGTCAACATTTCATACAAGAATTGATTTGACATGATGACAAAGCGAAATTCTGTCGTCTGTCGTTTATATGTAGGAGAGAATTTTTCATCACAGGGAAAGAAACAGATTGTCTTGTATAATATAATGCATTGGTACACAAAAATATCTTTCCCTGTGTTGAAAAATTCTCTCCTACATATAAAATGTAGATGAACTTATTTGGATGATGCCATTTTCACATGCTAATAAGAAACTAGTTCAACTAAACTAAAAAGACAATCATTAAATTTTACAGATAATAAAGGAAAATATCAAGACAGAAAGTCCAGGAATTGAAATAACTAGTTATTTCTGATGTATATGTTTGAATTTTTTAAATTCACAAGCAAATGATATGGACATTTAATCTTTCAAAGTAAAAACTTTACTTTTGAATGAAAATTTAAAATCTATAGGAGTCTACCCCATGCCCACATGTATCTATTTATGACTGCAGGTATGTAAATCACCATGAAATGTTTAGGATTTGTAGGGATAATTAGAAAATCTCCTATCCATTCTTCACTTAAGATGTAAAGTTTGAAGGTTACAAATTATTGACAAAGGTAGTTATCTCAATAATCTCATGCTTTGACCTTGAATATTGTCGTATACAAATTACTCCAAACACTATATGTGTAGTAAGAATAAAATTTATGGAATAATAAAAATATTCAACATATTATCACAGATTATAGGACACTTGCATCTTTATGGGGGTCCTATTGAGACCTAAATTCAAAATAGGACAAACACAAACAAAATGTATTTACAGTTCCAGGAAAGTAAAAAAAAATACACCAAAGCTAGCTTCTGAATATCATTTTTATGACTTTTAAGATGTCACCGTCTTGTAAAACGTATTCTT